GAGTATTGGGCATGCTCCTACATCTCATGAGTTATATATATTATATGAATGAATTGGAAAATGCTGGAAGATTTGAGTTTGCAAGGGCTTTTGTTTTTGCAGTCCACGATATCTTCATTGAAGTACAAGCATTCTGCATCGAGTTCTCCCGGATAAGAGAAGCAGCTGGGCTGTTTCGCCTTCTTAAATCCTTGGAATAGATTAGAATTATCTTTGATTTTATTTTTCTCTACATGTTCACTATTGGATAAGCTAAAATGAAAAGGTGCACATATTTTCTTGTTTCTGGATAATACCTTCTTTGTGTGAAGGTGAAAAACTTGCATCCTCGTAGTGTTTTTACCATTTTTTTTTAGGGTGAATGCTATGTTCCATACTTTCCAAATTAAATACCATCTAAGGAAAGAGAAGTAAAAGCAGTTTATGTATTTGTTAAATATACACTTCATTCAAATTTCTTAAAAATCACATATATCAGTATATCATACCTAATACTCCTAATCAGAATAATATAGAACTAATGATTAAAAACTAAAAACTGAACTAAAAGGATATCTGAGTGATGATTGGGTATGCTTTTAAAGTGATTTATCAGCAAAATTGGATGGAGTTGATAAAACTAGAGTTAGTGGAAGAATCCATTTTTAATATTAAATGATTGATACAAAGTGTAGTATTTATTGTGATGTGAGGAAAATAGTAAATGTAATAATTATTGCTTATAAGTACATGAGTGATTAATAGTAATTTATTTAAAAATGTAAAGTAATGATTAATTTTTACGTTAAAAGATATGTTGGAAAAGTATGAAGACTGAAGTGAAGTGAAAAGAAGGATGTGATATTTTTGAGGGATAAATATAGGTTGGATATAAAGTACGATATAATAGTGCCGATCGACTCTACGACCTATTGAATCAAAATGACCTGAAGAAGAAGTTTTTAAAATATTAAATTGTTCTGAAACTAATTTGTCTTAAAAATGTTTATGGAATCAAAATGACCTGACGAAGAAGTCTATAAAATGTTAAATAGTTTTGAAATTAATTTGACTTTAAAATGTTTCGCCTGCACCATTATTTCGATTGTATTCATTATTCTAAATAGATTTTTTGTTTGCATATAAACCCCCCACAATGCTGTACACATGATTTTTTTAAAATATTTTATTGATATTTTTTTTATTTATACAAAAGTCAAATTTTAAACGACTTTAATTTTTTTATATTTAAGGGTTTTTTTTTTCAAAATATTTGAAATCATGTCAACCATACAAATCAGT